TTTGCGACTTCCCCGATGTCTTTCCCGAAGACCTACCTGGTTTGCCTCCGCCGAGAGAGGTAGAGTTCTCGATCAATCTCATTCCGGGTACGGAACCCATATCTGCTACACCGTATCGTATAGCACCTGCCGAGATGAAGGAGTTGAAGGCTCAGTTGCAAGAGCTACTGGAAAAGGGATTCATCCGACCTAGCGTTTCCCCATGGGGAGCACCGGTGTTATTTGTTCGAAAGAAAGATGGATCCATGAGACTTTGCATCGACTACAGACAGTTGAACAAAGCCACAGTGAAGAATCGTTATCCGTTGCCTCGCATCGACGACCTGTTCGACCAGCTCAGAGGAGCTACAGTATTCTCAAAGATTGATCTACGTTCTGGATACCATCAGATTTCCGTTAAGAGAGAAGACATTCCGAAGACTACTTTTAGAACACGCTATGGGCATTATGAGTTCTGAGTCATGCCTTTCGGATTGACTAATGCCCCGGCAGTGTTCATGGAGCTTATGAACAGTGTGTTCTGACCATACTTGGACCAGTTCGTAGTAGTGTTCATCGATGACATCTTGGTTTATTCACGGACTCAGGAGGAGCATGCTAGACATTTGCAATTGGTTCTGAGTGTGTTGAGAGAACACAAGCTGTATGCAAAATTGTCTAAGTGTGAATTCTGGTTGAGTGAGGTGACATTCTTAGGACATGTTATCTTTGCCACCGGTATCCAGGTAGACCCCAGCAAGATTTCAGCCATAGTGGACTGGAAGACTCCGCGGAATGTTCGTGAGGTGAGGAGCTTCCTTGGGTTAGCCGGTTACTATCGTCGATTTGTTAAGGGCTTCGCCTCGATCGCTACTCCATTGAACAAGCTACTGCGTAAGGACATCAAATTTGAATGGACAGAAGCGTGCCAGCGCAGTTTTGATCAACTGAAGGAGTGCCTGACCCAGGCACCAGTCTTGATTCAACCTACTCCTGGCATCGAGTATGCCATCTACAGTGACGCATCTCATAGCGGCTTAGGTTGTGTACTGATGCAGTTGAGTAAGGTAGTGGCCTACGCATCGAGACGGTTGAAGACTCACGAAGAGAACTACCCGACACATGATTTAGAGTTGGCAGCCGTGGTGTTCGCCTTGAAGATTTGGCGCCACTACATCTTTGGAGAGAGGATTCACATCTTCACCGATCACAAGAGTTTGAGGTACCTACTCACCCAGAAGGAGTTGAATCTTAGACAACGTCGATGGTTGGAGCTGATCAAGGACTACGATTTAGTCATTGAGTATCACCCGGGCAAGGCTAACATCGTGGCCGATGCTTTGAGCAGAAAATTGTTAGCCAAGTTACAGCTTCAGTCTCCGTTAGAGCAGGAGATCCGTACAGCACAGAGAGATGATGAGTTTTGTCAGAAGACTCGAGAGTTAGTTCTTACAGGAAAGAAGCCCGAGTTTGCAATTCGCGATGACGGAGTCTTGTACTATCGTGAACGCCTAGTGGTGCCCCGCGGTGAAGTGAGGGATCGCTTGTTACGCGAGGCTCACGGAACCGTTTACACTATGCACCCGGGTAGTAACAAGATGTATCAGGATTTGAAGAAATCCTATTGGTGGCCAGCTATGAAAAAGGAAATCTCCGAGTTC